TTAAGCAGTTAATGAGCTCAGAAGCACCAGGAGGCTGTTTATAACAGTAACAATTGTTGAGTGGAAGGCTTTCATGCTTGTAAACTGTTTAATAAACGTAACAAAAGCCGTCAAAGATTGGGGAAAGATGTACACGTTCGTAAGTACTTGCGTAACTGCTTCGTGAATCTTGCCCCAGCATCATTAAGAAGGATCACCTCGTTGGATGCTGGAGAGATTGGTGCACTATGTTCCCTTAAATTAGTCGAGTTTCGTTTCCAGACACAAATATGGATTCTATGTAAGAAAATCTTGTTTAATAACAGGATTATTATTAATAATTAATAATTCCAATATACGTCAGGAGTTATCCAGTAAGACAACGATATTCAAAGAAAATATAAGTAGGTTGGCGTTTCAGAAAGCGTTCTTAATTGGGTGAGGATAACCTCACCCAATCACTTACTGGATAACCCGTCAGTGGAGAAGCAAAGGGTGACAGTGAGGGCGGAGACATTACAGTAGCAACGAGTGGAGCAGCTCAATGGTTCAGCACTAAGAGTTCATCGCAATTTTTAATATACGCTAATCACCTGACGTCAGAATCTCACTTTCATATCTTTATTTACCTGCTGCTGCTTGATACCTGCTTGATGGGGATCTGGGAGTTCTTCTACTCCCCAAGCCCGAGGCCAGGTTTGTTTCCTAACAATGTGAAACCAATGACTAAGACCAGAGGAAGACTGTAATAAACTGAAAAATTAACTTCCCCAGACACTACAGATGTGAAATTCAGAAGGGCTCCACGACTTAACCCGAACACCTTAACAGACACAGAGGAATGGAGAAAGATCTCTCGGAGTTGACATAATCCAGCATCTGAAGCCAGAGGCCCAAATTGGCATTGTAACACGGGGAGGTTTCTCATCTTATCTTTCCTTCTTTTCCCCCTCTACCCGTATTCTTACTTTTTATTTCTCTACAAGGGACTCCAAAACTTTTACCAAAGCCAACTCCACGCCACGTGGTTCTAAGACGATTGACCGACTTAGGATTCTACACCCAGTATGACGTGACCTAGGCTTTGAGCAAAACCCTAGAGTCGCCTCCGCCGCCACCACAGACCAGTAACACAGAGCAATGATCGAGGTCTGGATCGATCATGCTAATTAATCAACCTTGGGGCTTGATCCCCACTATAACCGATGACCTTGAGTGTGGAATAAATTACACGGTAATGATGAATTCCGATTCGATGTTAGAATCGGCGCCCAATTCAACTCTGCCTCGTGTGGACCACGTGACCAGGACAAGTAAACATAAACAATGGAAACAATAAAAATGCAAATATTAACTAATTAACTTATTAAAAGAAAAACTAAAACAAAATCTAAATATGTTCACTCCCTGTCACTTTAACACTCCCTACTTGACCTGAATGCAATGAGTTGACTATCCCTATAAATAACAAATAGCAACTATACCTCTATGTTTTACCAGCTAAAGATGTTGGGCTGGTCTTGGGGGAGAGGTAAGATGGTTGACCTCCCCCAGTTGATCTGGACTCCACCTGATCTCTTCCTCGTCTGGTCTTCCCCAGACTAGAGCATTGTATCCTTCCGCATAGTCTAAGTTTTACCAGTTACTTAGCCAGGTTTAAGTTATAACAATTAACCTCTGTTGTACTTAATTGATCCAGACTGGTTGAATTATTTTACTGAAATTAAATTACACAAAGCCTTTAACGGCAGAGCTGTTCCCGTTCCCAAAATGGTTATTAAAACTTTGAGAAATAGTAGACATGTCAACACTGATGACCTATGACCGCCGGTCACTCCGCCTTACAACTTAGATCTGATTCGTGACGTCACTGATGGTGACTTAACTCAATAATTAGAATACTCTTGATATTGTACCCAGTACTATTATACAATACAATTTAATACAAAATGAATAGAGGCTAATTTCTCTAAATTACTGAATACTATAGGATGGTTCATTATACGCAGCTATGAACAAGGCGTCGATTATTTTCACCGCGAATTCCCCTGGGGTCAGGTCCCAGGTCACCACGCGGGCTCAGCTTCCCATTCTCTTTTGTCGATAAACCACTCTGGATAATTCTTACAACCAGCCTAGTTTGTTACAAACCCCCCCCCCCCCGCACAGCACTTAGTAAACCTTGTTAATTGTTAAAAAATCACGAGGTTTAGTATCCAAACCCAGAATTCAACTCATGCCACAAACAAAGCTAACCTAACAAAATTTGACAATTAATAGAGTCCAACATCATAATAAATAAGTTCACATTTCATAAATTTCTCAGCTGT